CCCGCGCCACACAATGACCCTTTCATCAGTCTGCAGGAGCCCTGGGCCGGGGTTTCATCTGACAAGGGAGGGCGCCCGGCCTCCTGTCCCCTTGGGAGGGGCACTGAGCCCTATCCGAGCTGGACCCAGGGCCACGAAAAATGGCAGCCTCAGGGGAACCCGCTGTAGCCCCTTCATCTGCCAGGAGGCAAGAAGAGCCTCGAGAGGCAACAGACTGGCCACCGGCCGCACAGTGGCCCCTGATCTGGGCATTGCACACCTGACCCTGAGATGACAGGTGGCCTCGGTCTTCAAAATCGAGCGCTCTGCCCCCCACAGCCCCATGCTACCGCCCTCAGGGTCTGTCCAGGGTGGTCGGATGACAGAGCACTGGTCCAAACCCCGTAGGGGCTCTGGGCTCCCCACGGGCACCCACAGGCTGGCTGTGCAGCCCTGGTCCCCCTGCCCCTCAGGGCTGGTGCGAAGCTCCAGGCAACATGGCCAGGCAGAAGGGACAGGGCAGGAATGTGACTTGCTGGGCCTGTGTCCAGTGTGTACCCAGAGGGGCCCGGGACAACATGCGAATGAGGAAACAACGTGCAGGTGACGCCTCAACCTCCCCTTCCTTCGTGGCCAGCACGCACCCCGCTCACAGCGCCTCCAGCAGCTGGCTGGAACCCCGAGGCCCCAAGAGACCCTGGGACTCCGCTCCCTGTGGGACCACCATAGGGAGAATGTCCCTTCGGAGGCAGTGGTGGAGCCAGGTGAGGAGCCTGGAGCTGGGAGGGCTGGACCCCTGGGCTCTGAGTGACCTCAGGAAATGGCCTCTTCTCTGTACCCTGGCATTCCATCTGCCACCTCAGCAAGATGCAGCGAGGCTCCCTCAAGGGGGACGCCTGGGTGAACGTGTTTGACACTCAGTGTTGTTCCCTCTTCTAGGAGTCTCTCTCGTGCTCCTGTTTAGTCTGGCAAACTCCTATCCATCCTTCAAAACCCTTTCTGGGACAGGACACGGTAGCTCACGCCTATAGTCCCAGCTACTCGAGAGGCTGAGGCAGGAGCATCACTGGAGCTCAGGAACTGGAGCTCAGTGAGCTGTGATGGGGCCACTGCACTCCAGCCTGGGTGACAGAGCAAAACCCTCTTAAAACAACAACAACAACAACAAAACCGTGTCTGGGTGTCATCTCCTTCAAGAAGTCCTCTTAGACATCCTAGAGAGTTCATCACTCCCTCCTGAAGGAACAAAGCCACCGAGCCTCCCTGTGTTGTCAGTAGCCAGCCTCCCTGCTCCTGGTCACTGAGAACGAGAATGACCCATCTCCTGGAAACTTCCAGGGTGCCAGGCGCCGAGCTGCATTTCCTCACTGGGTTCTCATGGCCACCCTGAGGTTTGACTCCCGTGGTCCTCACTTCACACAGGGACAGCTGAGGTCAGGGGACACACCAGGCAGAAAGAGTAGAAGGCAGGACGAGAACCTGTGTCTCAGTCACCGTCATGCCCTTGGCCTCCCCAAGACTCGAGGGAAATGGGGTTAGAAGATGCCCGTTCACTGCAGAGCCCACCCCAGCCCAGGAGGAAACACCGGGCCCTCCCCTCCCTGCGCACACACAGATGGTCACGGGGGTCACTTCCAGAACGTGCCCTTCTCCACTCTGGCTCACGGTAGACGAGTCTCACCCACATGGCAGTGAGTTTGGGGAGTTTTCTGTGATTAGAGTGGCTCCATTTGTCCACTTCTAGCTGGGGGTCCCGGAGGTGAAATTTTGTGGGGTTTCCCAGCTCTAACCTCCACGAGCACACCACTCTGGAGTGTTCCGTGATCTGAGCCTTCAGGGAGGGCTCTCCATCCCACCCGACCAATGAGGAGACTGAAGCCCAGGGAGGCCCACGGACCTGCTCGGGGCCACACGGCAGAGCCCCTCCCATACTCGGACGGACGCAGACCCTCCAGGCTAGGAGCCGCTCCTCCCCAAGAGCGACCTGTCCACGCCTGGGCCGTGTGGCCCCATCCTGCCCCCACACAGGCTGTGATGCCATGGGATCGGGCCTGATTCAGCATCCCCCACCAGGATCATGCCCACAGGGCTTCTGGGACTGCGGTTGGCACCACCAACAAAGCCACAGCGGTGGAGCCGGGAAGAGGCCCGGTCTCGGCAGGGCAGTGGTGAGCACCCCCCCACCCCACAGCCAGGTGGTCGGTGAGTAACCGCCCCGTCACCCATGACTCACTGGGCTCCCCAGAGCGGGCAGTCACCATGAGAGGCTTCTACCGGAAGACCTGGGGGATCGTCACAGCCAACCCCCACATCTGGGAGAGGAGGGCCAGGACCGGAAGGGACCTGCCTAGGACAGTAGCCCAGCCTGGGTCTGACTCAAGACCTCGGCCAGGCCCCCATACCAGCTGACCCAGCGCCGCAAGCCTTCCTCTTGGCCTGCAGCCCCCATCTGCCCTCCCTCAGGCCCTGGCTGACCCCCTGGCCCTGAGAGACCCTGGTCTGACAACAGAGGCACAGAAGCGAGGCCTGGCCAGGGCTGCCTAGCACGGCTGGGCCAAGCTCGGCGTCCGGCAGGGGCTCCGGGCCCTTCCAGGCCAACACACCCGTCCAACCCGATCAGTGGCAAGGGCCCAGGCATGCGTCTGGGATTCGGTGTGTGCGGACCACAGCCCAGGACAGGGAGCTGGGAGAGCAGCCCAGATGAAAGAGGCAGGATCAACTGTCGGCCAGTGTCTGTGATCCCAGCAATGAGATGCTTTCTGGAAAGTTCTCTGGAGCAGAACGAAGCCTCCACCCAGCGCCCCTCCTAGCCCTGGCATCCTTCTCCAGCATGCACGGGACTGAGAGTGGGCTACTGTGGAGTCCCACTGCCTCGAACACCAACTGCCTCACCTAAGTTCAGCCGTGCCCGCCAGGGTCTTCTCCCTATGCATGCTTTCATTCCATTCGCACAGGGCCTGCTCCCACCAAACAGGGGAGGGGAAACCCCAGAGACCACCATGGCCCCCCCTCTCACTTCCGGGAAATATCTGAGTTAGTCTCTGCTTGGGAAAGCCTGGTGTCAGCATTTTTTCCCCCTGGGGCTAAAGATCAGGCTGGACCGGAGCTGGGCCAGGTCTGCGGGAGGTGGGGCAGGGACGCAGCCTGCCTTACTATCCCCCACCGCCCACGCTGGACCCCAGCACCGGCCCAGGAACATTTGGAAAATCTGTTCCCTTGGGAGAATTTCTGCCGGCAAAGCCGGCGGTGCACGCTCAGGGAGCAAGCGGTATGGGAATGGATGACAGTCACTGTAAGCCCTGATGCAGGGGCCACCCCAAAGGAGATCGTGGGTCCAATGAGGTCTACTGGCCACCACCTGCCCCAGGGGCGCCTCAAGCTCTACCTCAGCATCGACTCCCACCAGCGTGAGCCCCCTGCACACCTCCTCCTCTCACAGCTTACTCCAAACCAACCCCGGAGGACTCCTGGTTTTCCACCCTGGACCCGCTGCATGGACACCAAACCTCAGCCAGCCGGCTCCAAAAATGGTTGCTACAGCGGAGTGGCTGTGATTCTCTAGCAAGGCTTAACACCGAAACGCCAGGATTCTGGGGAGAGGGAGGCTTCCAGAACTCCAAGAACCGAGGCTGCGATTCCAAGGCCTCCTTGGTCCATCCAGTTCCTGGGAGGGACACCAAAAGCAGGACCCTCTCGCACAGCACTTTAGCCTGCGTCCCCGCGGATCAGGCGGTCCCCACCAGGCATGCGCCTTGCTCCCCCCCCCACCCCTAAGGCGATGCCTCCACAGCCGGGGCTGCCCGCCGGGCCTGGAGCGCTCTCTGCGCCCGGACCTTGTAATTATGTCCCACAGCCCGGGAAACCACGGGCCTCGCAGCATCTGGCTGCGGTTGCGAACTTTTGTTTCAAGATGCGCGACTATTTATAGAAGGAAAACTGGTAGGATAGTAATTTCCTAGGAGCTGGAAGAGAAATTGGCTGCGTCTTTATTAAATGGGGGTGGGGGCGCGGCGATTTATTAGGACTGCGACCGCACGGGGAGAGGGGGTGGCGCAGGGAGCTGGAAGGCAGCGGCTGCCCCCTCTGGCCGCGTTAGACGACCCCGGACGTGGCCCGCGTGTAAAGGAGGGGGAGGAGGAGGGGAGGAGAGGGGGAGGGAGAGCTGGCTCTGAGGTTTAATCAGTAGCATCCAGCTAAAATTCCCCCAAACGGCGGTTCCATAAATCAAACTTCTTTTTAAGTTGGAGGCCAGAGCATATGCGTCCCATTAGGAATCCGGCGAAGCCACCGCTGCGCGGACGCACCCCCTCTGCTCGCTGGGCCGGACTGGGCCCTGCCCCGAGCTTCTTCAAGCCCGGTGGGCGCTGCCGGGCCTTTGGCACACGCGCGCACACGCTGCGCGCGCTCCCTCGGTCAGGACGCCTGGGCGAAGCGCGGCCGCCCCCACGCAATGCGCGCCCGCCTCGCCCCCAGGTGAGGAGTCGGCGGGGCTTGGATCAGGCAGTGCAGCGCGGCAAGAGGGCGCGAGAAGCTGCGGCGACTTCGGGTGCAGCTTGGGCACGGTCTGGCGGAGCGCGGCATGCACGTGCGTGCCAGTGTTTGCGCGGAGGAGCGGGTGTGTGCGTGCGGCCCTCTCAAGTGTGGCGTTGCCATTCGTGCCACATGGGTTAATATGGGGAGGGGGGTTCCCGCTGGTCTAGGACTCAGCTGGGACGAGCAGAGAACCTCGGCGTCTCCCGAAAGCCCTCCAGTCCTCGCTCTCCGTGCGCACAGCCTGGTCTGCGTGGGCACTCAGGCCGCTCTCTTTGACCCCAAAACCGGGACTTCTCACTGCTGCAGCTGTCCCCGAGGTGCTCCACCTCGGCAGATTAAGCCAGTGAGGCGACCTACAGTGCCCCGGCTCCAGTGCCCGCCGGACAGCCGGCGCCACGCCCAGGGGCCTCGCTGCCGCGTTCCCTGCCCGCTGGGCTCCACGGCCTGGGCCCCACCCGCCCACCCCGCGCGCCGCCCGCGGCACTCACAGGTAGCTGCCGCTGGACAGGAGGAGAAAGATCTGCGGGCAATAGACGGAGAGGAGCGCGCTGCGCGGCGACAGCAGGAGCATGGTGGGCTGGCGCGCCTGGTGGGGCTGGAAAGGCCCCGCGGGCAGGGCGCCTGGGCCAGCTGAGGCCGGGGTCCCCGTGGCGCTCCCTGATACAGGGCGACGACGCTGGGCGCTAGGGGCCAGGGCTCGCGGGCCCAGGCGCAGTGGTCACCCGTGCCCCGCCGCCTGGGCAGCGCATCGCGCTGGGTCTGGGGCGGCGGCGGGAGCTGGGGCTGGAGTGCCGGGCGGGGACCGGTCCAGGGGCAGCGGGCGCGCCTTAGCGGCGGTCTGGCCCTCCGTCCGTCTGTCGGTGCGAACTCGCTCTGTCGGTTCTGTCGCTCGCTCTGGCTCACGTCTCCAAGTCTCCCGAGGCGCGCAGCTGCCATTGGATGGGCCGCCCCTACATCCGCCTCCTCCCCCGGGCGGGTTTTTTTAAAGGGGAGGCTGACCCGGAGCGTGCGGTGGGAGCCGCCTCCAGGGCTTGCCCAAGCAGCCTTGGTCGGGACATCGCCACCCACACCTTCGGGGAGCCACACAGCTCTGGTCTGGCTCTGGAGGGTGCACCTAGGGGGAGGCACCGTGGGGTAACCGCGCGGAGGCGTGTGCTCCTCTTAGGGGCTGTGCTCAGCAACGTGCGCTCCCGTGTGCACGCATGTGCCTGCATGTCCTGTGTGCCTGCGGGACAGAGGCGTTCTGCGAGGGCGCAGGTGTGTGTGCACAGATGCACCGTGTGTGATGCCTCTGCCCGTGTGCGCCCCTGGGTTCGGTGAGGCTGGCTGTGGGTCCCCAGCACTCACTGCCATAGCCAACCAGGTCTGGCCCTGCGCTGGTATGTAGCCTGGTGTCTCTGCAGCACCCTGCCTGCGCGCCTCTTTGGAAAGGCACCACCAGCAGGTGTTGCTGTCCTCACATAGAGGCCCCCAGCTCTGGTTTTCCTGGCCCCCTTCTTTTGCTCTCCTTTGAGGGGCTGGTTGGGATGGGTGTGGGGAGGACACACAAGGACACACTTTTCTAAACAATCCTGCTTCCGGTAAGATTTTTATTTTTTAATCCCTGAAACACAGGTTCAGGGTCCCACCTCCTATTGTGTGCCAAGCCTGGCTACATAGGAATGTCCCTCTAGAGGCAGTGTGAACCCGTCAGCTGGGGCAAAGGCACAAAGCAGGGGTGACGGCAAGAAAAGGGAGGTCTGTGCAGTGTGGCCAGTGGTCCTGAGGAAACGCATTTCCTGGCTTCTGGACCTGGCACGGAGGTTCATTCCCAGCACCCAGCGAGAAGGAACCGCCTCCGCCACCTTCATGCCTCCTAGTCCGGGGCTCTTGGGCCTCTCTGCTTCTTGCCCCAAAGGCAGGCAGAGGCCTGGAGCAGGCTGGTCCTGGAACTTTGGTGACTGTAGTTCCAGTGGGCAGAGGGTGCCCAGACTCCACCCTGGCTCCTCCAAGTCCTGCTTTGGCCTCCTCCAGGGCTGGAGCTGAAGGCTGCTCGGCTTAAAAAGGGCCCTGGGTGAGGAGCTATGACTTCCCAAAGGCTTTCGGTTTTCAGATTGCTCAAAATCCAAAGCGCATCTGTTCTTGGGGCCCCCAGCCCCCAGGGGATTGTGAGGGCTGAGTTCTAGTTCCTGCTTGTGTGGGAGCCCCCCCAGGGGCTGTACATGTGAGCTGCACCGGGCTTAGGGGTACATGTGTGTGCTGGCTGCCTGAGCACAGGTCGGGGGTGAGGGAGGCTTCCCTGTGTACATTCAAAAGCACGCAGCCTGCAGGCATGGGTTCAGGGGCTGTGATCATAGACTACTCCCCCGTGCACAGAATCTCTGATTTTTGTTTGGAATTTTATGACCCTAAAATTCCAGCTGCTGGGAATATACTATGTGGGGTTGTCCCCAGGGTGCTTGCCTGGGCGATATCTGGGTCATTAACACTAAGAAAGGCGTTTCTGGTGTTTATTGGGACCTGCAGCTCCACCACCCTCAGGGCAAAGGCCCCCAGCACTAACCTTCTCCGGGCTGTGAGGGAGGTGCTGCCATCCCGGTTTTTCAGAGGCGGAAAGGGAGGCTGAGAGGTTAAAGAGCTCACAAAAGGTCACAGGGTAGGAGGGACGGAAGGACTGAATGTCCAAAGTGGATGTTGCTCTCAGACTCCCAAACCTCAATCCACTGGGCTCCCAGGTCATTTACTCCTTAGGACACTTCCCGCCCAGGTGCCCCCTCCTACCCACCTTGTGCAGCCAAAGTGGCTTGCAAAGAAAGCAGGGCCCTTCTCTCCAATGTGGGCTGGCAGGGGCTGAGTCTCTGGAGATGGGGGTTGGCTGGGCCCCCCACACCCCGTAGCAGATCCCAGGGTGGAGCTCCAGCTTTCCTGGCTGTCAATCCACAGGGTTATTTGGAGACCACAGTTTGGAAACCCAGGAATAGGGAGAGTGTGTGTTTTAGGGGGGCACACCAGGGGGAGGAGTCTCCCCCTGCAGGGTTCCTGGGTAGGTCACTGCCTCGCTTTCTTAGCCACTCCCAGACAGTGGCTGACCCAGGTGCCTGGCGCTCAGGCTGGACCACAGGGAGACCCAGTGGGATCTTGCTCACCTGCTCTCTCCTCTCAGACACTGGCCACCATCCTGCTGAGGATGGCCAGAGCTGCAGTCCCATTTTCAGAAGGGAACAGGGACTCAGGAAGGTCACACAGACCTCCAAGTCCTGGAATCAGCCCCAGGAGCCCAGGCTGGGGTGGACTTCAGCTCTTTCTGCTGCCTGCGGTGGGAGGTGGCGTTCAGAAAGCTCTTCCCATTAGCTTGTGGGGGAAGGGGGCTGCTTTGCCGATGCTGGGAGGAGTGGTCAGTGATGGAGGCCAGAGCTGACTCCAGTCCCAGCGCTGCCACTGTTCCCGTGGACAGTGACTTAGCCTCCTGTGCTGTTTCCTCATCCTTAAAGCCAGGAGAGTAAAAGCACCGAACTGTACGTTTGCGGGAGGGGAAGGCCTGGGTGCTGAGAAGCAGGCAGCAGGGACACAGCCTCATTAAGGACTGGTGACCACCTCTGGGGTCCAGCGGGGAGTCGCTGCAGGGCTGCTGAAGAGCCTGGACGACAGCGGCTCCCACCCAACCCCCAGCCCAGCAGGCTCAATGCCCTGCACCCCTCACCTCCGTAGACAAACACCCAGGGACACAGCCTGCCCACAGACCTACAATAAACAGGGCCACCAGCAGCCGCAGACACACCCGCTCAGGCCTGCACAGCTGAGGCTAGGACCGGGCCTTCCAGCCCTGCCGCGAAAGCCACTGGCCTCGGTCCCTGCCGGCCCTGGTCCCTGCCGGCTCCGGGTCTCGCTTTCCCCACCTGTACAATGGCGGAGTGGATAAGGGGCGGAGAAGGGCGATGGACGAGCTGATTCTCGGGTCGTGCTTCCACCTCTCCGCCGGGGAAGCCGCATCTCCCGCCAGCGATACCGCGACCCGCCCCTCCCGCGGTCCCTTCCCCGCCTTGGCGGCGGCGGGCGGCGCACAGTAGGCGCGCACGGTGCGGCGGGCACCGGTGCTCGCAGGTGCGAGGGGCGCGGGGCCAGCGCCAGGCGGTGGGCGCCCCCGGCGAGGAGCACTGCACCCCCTCTCGGTCACGCCGCCCCTCCACCCCCACTTCGAGAGAGGCCGAGACAGATTCTGTCTAAAGGAGATCGCGGCTCAACAGGTAAGGACTCGGCTGGGTTCAGGAATGTGGAAATACGACTCGGAGCAGCTACCGCAGCGAGCAGCTAGCGCGGCCGCCGGGCGCCCGCCCGCCCGGCCGCGCGAGGGGGAGCGCGGCGAGAGGGGGCCCGGCCCAGGGCCCCCGGCGGGCGGGGGCGCGGGCCCCGGACCGAGCCCGGGGCGGCCGGGCCGGCCCCGCAGCCCATCCCGAGCCAGCCGGACGAGTTGTCAAGGCAATTTCAACACGTCCGGGTGATGGATAGAGACGAAGGGCTGTGGCGGGTGCCTCGGCCTGCGCGCTCGCGGCCGGGTGCGCGCCCCCCGCCCTCCCGGGTCTCCCCAGCAGCCCGACGCCCCCCGCCCCCCACCCTGGCGCACCCTCTGGGCGGCGAGCACTCGGCCCGGGCTCAGCGCCCAGCACAGCCCGGGGGAGGGAAGGCGCGTCCCACCCCCAGGGCCTGGAGCCCAAACAGGTGAAAGTACGCGCCGGGCACGCTCGCCGCTACCCGCGAGCCCGGCCGCGGCCGCCTGCGCGCCCCGCTCTCCCGCCTCCTGCCCTGGGATCGGCGCCCCTCGGGCACCCACTGCCCAGGGGACTCGACTGCGTCTCTGCGGGGCTGGGGCGAGGGTCTGATACGCAGGCCAGGCCCGGAGCCCCGGGAGCCGCCGTGCCGCTCTCCGGTCCCCAGGAACCCGTGGGGACCCCTTGGAGGCAGTTCCTCCCGGCCGTCTTGGCCCGGGACTGCCGCCCCCGCCCCCGGGGATACTCACCCGAGCTTCACGTAGAGGACGCCAAAGCAGAGAAACACGTAGAAAATCCACTTGCGAAAGTTTCTGTGCATGATCCAGGGAGGGGGGCTGCGCCATAGACAGCGGCGGCCGGAGGGGACGCGCGGGCCCGGCAGGGGCCGGGCAAGGGCCTGGGGGCTGTGCGCAGACCGCGCTCAGCCGGCGCTGCGGCTCGGGCGGCCGGCGACGCGCGGGCACTCGGCGCGCGCTGCCACCATGGTGAGCCCGGGGCGCTGCCGCGGCCGCCGCGTGCGCCTGGGGAAGTGACCGGGGCCGGGGGCCGCGACCTCGGAGCCGGACTGAGCTACCGTGGGGCCCTGCGAGCGCGGGCTGGGGCCCGGGCGCGGCTGGCGGGCGGGTGCTGCCTCCACTGGGCGCAGCTGCCTGGGGCCGTGCGCGCCTCGCCGAGCGCCGCGGCGGCCAATGTGTCCGCACTTGTCGGCCTCCCCAGGTGACTCGCGGCCCGGGCGAGCGAGCCGCGAGCGAGCGAGCGCGCCCCAGGTAGGAGGATCCGCCTCCCGCCCGCCCTCCTCGCTCGCTGCGCGCTCTCTCTCCCTGGCTCCCTGGCTCTCCCCTCCCTTTTCTCCTCCCTCCCCCGTGACACACAAATGCATCTACCCCCGGGCCCCCCTCTCCAGGCCAGCTCCCTTCCGATTGCCCTCCAGGGACTGGGCGGAGTGGGGGGTAAGTGGGAGAGGGATGAGGGGGGGCGCGGGGGAGGGTGCGGCTCGGAAGAGACACCTGCACTCCTCTGCGCCCTGGGGGTGGGAATAGGAGCACGGGTGGGTGTGGGGGCGAGAAGCGATGGTAGGAGTCCTGGTGGCCACTTGGCTTCCAGTTTCTGGTGGAGGGAGAGA